AGGAGTACCATAGGGAACCGTGCTTGGCCCACTAATTTTTCTTTTGTAAGTCCTCTACTATCCAGTCCACCATCCGTTTGTATGCCGATGATTGCGTGATTTATAGAAAAATATCTAGCATTCATGATTGTATTGAACTTTGGAACGACTTAATTACAATTGAAACATGCTGTCTAAACTGTCTAAAATCTGCTGGACGCAAAGTCCCGCAGATTTTAACTACACTCTCTTCGATAGAGTTCTTTAACATGTGCATACATCTAAATATCTTGAGGTTCCTTTCACATCAAACATGACCTGGGAAGCCCAGATCAATCACATAGTGCAAAAGCAAATCAAAGCTTTTTGTTTTCAATATTGTTGTACTTGCCCCCCTCCTCTTATGTAAAGCCCTATGGGTACTTTAAGGGGACACTGACACCCCCCCCCCCCCCCAAAGTTTTTATTTTTTGCCAGGCGATATATTATGGTGTCAGCAGACTACCCAATCAATATTTTGCCCGACTTCGCATCACTGTTCTTCTGGCACACATGCTCTTTCTGACCCAGCGTGCATGCGAGGCACAAGTTTGATAGCATGGCAAAGTCCAACACCAAACCCGTGTATTATTCAATCGCAGTTCCTACTTTTACTACACTGCGGGTCATCCACTTTCCATCATAAACAACAGTCACATTTTTTGTTTATGTGCCATCCATCTCCTTATAGACCTTCCACACAGCTTCCACAGCATCTCCAAAGCCACTTGCTGCAGCTGCTTCTGAAGCAGGTCTGAAACTTTTCTTGAGGTGGGCCTGGAACGTCTGATGATGCAATCCTCGATGGGGAATCACCGAAAATCCGTGAGGGCTGTGGAACCCTTCCCAACTGCCTTGATGGTTTGGGTGGACTGGAGGATGCTTCAAAAGCTAGGCCTTCTTCCTTACGTGGTGATTACCACTGGCTCTTGAGGGCTCCGCATGTGGAACACGTAAGGATCATCTTGACAGCTAGGCCAAGCCTTGTGCCTTGCTCGATCGTCAAGCCCGGTCGCGAGCACTCTTGGCAGGGTGTGTTCTTTAGCAGCGCATTTAACGCCGAGATTTTAACTAGAATGAATTTATCGGCTGACTCTGATCCAGCGGGTGGCTCTGGTGCCGCAACTCCTTTATTATTGCCGGTAAGGAGCATTTTACGTTCCGTTGCAGACGCAGAACTCAGCTAATCGCGAACTGCCGCTGTGCGATCGCGGGATGATAACGGCGACAAGAATTGCGATTGTAAATGAACATGGATCGTACGGTTGCTGCATGTCGAGTGTGTCTCGTCTCTGGCATAGCGGCTATGTCCGCGGAGTCAGCCACCGAGCGCACAATCTCGGGGGCAGCAGCAGCGGTGGCATCCATTGCCGCGTCAACAACGCGCACTGTTGCGGGCTCTGCCGCTTTCAGACGTTTCACCATCGAAGACTTCCGCTTGCGAGTGCCGAAGCAATGGGTAGTCCAGTATTTCTTCTTGAACGAACGTCGATCCATGACTGCGAGTTAAGCCTCAACGAAACCAAGAGAAACAAAAAAAATCGGTACGACCTTTAAGCTTAGAAACACTCTGCGGTACCGAAACCTCGGAACAGCCACCGAGGAGGCGAAAAACGAGTGTGCAACGCTTGCGGCAGAAGCGGTTGCTAGGGGCAACGGATGCGGTAGCCAATTACGAAGCACCCTGATGCACATAACAACGGGGAGCCAATTACAGGACCGAAAGGCCGTTCCCGCGTGCCTCGGTTATTTTCTTTTTTGCGTGCTTGTTTCTTTTCGGAGGAAAGGGCAGGCAACGGGAGTGGAGCGGTTGTGAAATGTGCTTTCCAATGATACCAAGATGGCCACGCCCGTTCGCTTCGTTACGGCGGTGCTGTGCTTGGAAACGCGCATTTCTCGTGATTCGGAAGATTTTCTTTGCTGTCCGCACTGATATAAACAGTCATTTAGGATATTTAGAGTTCGATATTGAACATGAAACTTAGTGACTGCACGAAAGAAGACCCAAGCATGCCGAAACTTAAAAATTTCTTAAAACCAATTGTTTTCACATTTTTTGGAGAGTTGATCCCCGCGTCCGAGTCGGCAGAGCCCAAGTACAGTCGTCCGAGTCGGCCAAGGTGAGGTCAAGGCGTTCAGCGTCAGATTGCCTGAGGCCCTGCGGCCCTGGATCTGGACGTCAGCCAGTTGAAAACAAATGAGCAAAAGATTCCTTTTAATACTTCTTCGTTAGAAGTTGGAACCGCATTGCCGCAAGATAAATCGTGACTATAGAACTGAAACGCGGTCCGATCCGAAACCTTGCCGGCCAGCAGCGTGAGCGGTAGATCTGCTCGACATACTTTAACCTTGCTCCTGCTTGTCGCTTCGAATACGATAACTGAGGTAATCCTAGTCTGCTGCTTCAATATTGAGTTGCACAATAGGATAAACACGAAATTCGTTGCCCTGTTTCTCCGCACAACTGCACGTCCGTTGCTTGTGCACTTCACGTGGGTCACACATACAATACGATGTCGAGCACGTTGGGGTTGTGCTATAAACGGTGCTGGTTTTCATTTTAAACAGCTGAAAGCCACTCAGAAAATATTAGAGGCTCTATTTTCAGAAACCTATGGTACAGTTGCTGACCGATTAATTGGACTTCGCAGGGACTGAAAAAACGTGCGAATAATAGAGCAGTCTGAAAAATCAGCAGATTGAAAAACTTGCCTTTATTACTTCCAAGCGTACTTAAAAAAGCCGTAGAGGTTAGGTTAGGTTAGGTTACACCTTCGTTTGCGTTGGATCAACTTTCTGTTAGCTCGAGAATTGCTGCTTTCTTTTCTAGCGTTATGGTCGAGGACTTTCTGCGCTTCTTAGCGACACATTGCGGTGGCAGAAGAAAAGATGGTGCAATGATGTACAAGCCAGCGTTGCCAGAACGAGATGAGAGGCGCAAATCCACAAGTGCAAAATGGCGACGTGAAAGTGGGGCGGAGGTGCGATGGGAGGAAACAAAGCAACATGATGATGATGATGACATGCAGTTAAATGGAAAAAAATGGCTAACATAGCGTCACCTAGTGGTAGGACTCATGAGTACTCAAGTAGCACTGCCAAACAAAGCCAATCCATTTGCAGCCAACATAGCATTCAAAATGGCCGCTTCTCGATGGTGTCAAAATGGTGTCAAATCAAACTTTTGGACTTTAAGCTGTCCGAAACATTGGTCGTGAATATGCACTATTTTATGGGGCATGTCACGGTTCCTCCTTTAGGTCCGAAATATCGAACCAGTCCGAATTATCAAAACCCGGCAAAGCGAGTCCAAAAAAAAAAAAAAGCACAGAAAAGAGCACAGAAAATAAACATTTGTTTATTTTCTGTGCTCATTAACAGCCCAACGCCTTGGTAGTGATGTACAACAAAATGTTCACAGGTTAGCTACAAAAGTCTTAAAAGCTACGAAATTTAGGTTAAAAACATCAATCTCTGCTTCCTTGAGGGTATTGTAGAAGTGTTGGTCATGGTGTTGGATACGGGTCATTGGACTGGTTTGGATAATGTGATTAAAGTAGAAAGGAAACGGTGCAAAACTTGATTCGAAACGTGAATATTAATAGCAGATGTGAGATCTGGGCAATCATTTCATCCATGAAAACATTTATACAGGAACCAAGATCGCGCTCACGCCGTCTGGAACTCAAAGTAGGAATTTTGCATCGTTCCAAGAGTCTCGCATAAGAATAATAAACAGTACGACCAATGTAACGATCGTAAACAATTAGAAAAAAACGCTTTTGAACATTTTCAATCATCTCTTGGCTCGTAGAACTAATACAATTCCAGACTACAGAGGAAAACTCCAACTTGGTCCGAATTAACGAGAAATATAACCATAGAATACAGGTTGATGTGGAGAACTCGCATGTGATTCTAGAAATTGCTCCCAGCTTACGCAAAGAGCCATTTATAAAGTTGTTAACATGTACAGTAAAGTATAACGAAGAGTCTATGTATACACCAAGATCACGCGTGCACTCGACTCTTCGAAGAGGATCATTGCCAATCTGGTAACAAAATTTAATTTTTTCTACCTTTCTGGACAAAGACATAATAACGGTTTTAGAAGGATCCACTTTTGCTGCTCCAAAACACTGTCTTGGCTGCTCCAAAAGCCGCTTTTGCTGCTCCAAAACACTGTTTTGGTTGCTCCAAAGGCCACACTTGCTGCTCCAAAACACTGTTTTGGTTGCTCCGAAATGTGTTCCAAAATGGCTTAGGTCAATCACATCACTGGAAATTGGAAAACGAACTAGAGGTCTAATCCAGATGACATTAATCATTTCCAATTCTTAATATGTGGTTGAAAAAATGGCCGAAGCGAAAGAATATTGCTTTAATACTGTTTTATCTCAGTTTATGAAGTCCAACCCAGCCAAGTTCTGGAGATGTTCCTAAAAATGACCTACCTCAAAGTTTTATTATTCATGACCATTGTGTTACCGATCCAGAGGATGGCTCAAATGAGTTTAATGAATATTTTTGATCTGTCTTTATTCAAGATAAAGGTTATGATCTGGTTTTATTTCAGTGTACATATTGACTATTGTAATCTGTGTTTCTGGTGTGAATAACTTGCTCTTAAATCTTGATTGCAAGAAGAGTTGAGGCCTTGATGGCATTCCTAATTAATTTCTTCATCGGCGGTGTCGCTGCTCTTGCCGAGTCTACCTCTCGGCAAGCCGGACGCGCCCGTCCAACCTCGGAGACTCTGCGGCGGTCCCGTGCTCCAAGCGCTCGCTCGTTGTTCCTGCCCACTCGCCTCTCTGGACGCTGCATTCCAGTCACCCCCGTTCCGGGCCGCGATCTCTGCTGTCGTCCTTGCATGCCGGTACGCCGGGCAGCGTCGGTCGAAGGCGTCGGGGGGGCGTCCGCAGGTGGTGCAGGTGGGGTTCTGTGATGTTGGGCATTTACCCTTTGCGTGTTTTCCTTTACAGGTAGTACAGGCCCCCCGATCGGTGCACACTGCCCGCAGGTGGTTAATTCTTCCTCACTGGGTTGGCCTGGCCCTTGGCTCGAGCACTGGCAGCCGCATCCCCCAGAGCTCAACGTGCTGGGGTCGTGTACTGTCGAAACGGAGTTTTCTGCCCCCGTTGAAAACCCGGGTCTCCGTTATTGGTGCAGCCGACTCCTGGCCCCCTGGATGTGTGCACTCTTGGCCGGGAAGCGAGGGCGGACCACTTCCTGGGTTCCCCGCCGAGGAACATGCAGGTGGGTCCAGACTCTGATGTTTTGTACCACCGTTGTCCTCGGAAGTTTCTCAATGGTTGCGGTGTCTTGGAGATCGACTGCCACAATGTTTTTTTCTCGTGTTTACCCGCACCGCTTTCGCCTGTCCGTCCGTGGCAAGCGACAAGGCTCGTGCGACTTGCAGTTTGTTTTTCATCAGAAATTTCCGTGCCATTAGAGCTATTTAGGTGCAAGGAGGGCAAGTTTTCACAATCTGCTTACTTAACTTGGTCAATTCTTTTCGAGTGTCCAGACATTGTAACGTATTTCCTCTATCATGTACACTTGTTCTTTAAACTCTGGCACGATGGCCAACCCAAGGGCTCTAAGGGCTACATTTCGCGCTATATCATACTCTACATCGTTCACAGTTACATCCTTTACACTAAGCTTTGGTATATGTAATGTAACATGCGCGTAAATATCTTCTATGTGCTTTTCAAATTCTTTGGCTTTCGTCTGATAAATTGTTGCACCAAAAGCATTGTATGCTTTCATGAGTATGCAAGGTGCATAATTTACCGGTGCAGTTCCACCGTATCCACGGACGTCTGTCGTCCAATAATATGGTAGTTTGGTTACATATTCCTTACCCTTATCTGATATGAGATATTCCTCCAACATTGTAAGTCTCTTGGCCATTCCGAATTTAACCGTGAAACGGATCTTTTTTTATTATGTCTAACTTTTATTATTTCTGCTAGACATAACAAACCCGGTGGCAATTGCCGACCAAACCAATAGAGGTCCGCCAACACATGCAAATAAATTTGCCCATGCTGGCGGCTCTTCGTCATCCTCTGTTGTTGTTGTTGTTTCAGCCGGTGATGGCAGTTTGTATTCTAAAGTCTTATCTTTTAAGCCTAAAACGATCGATACTGCTTCCCTCACATTATCGTTGATGATTTTTAAACGTTTATTTCCTACAATAGTTCCTTAGTCTATAAATTTAATATAGATGACTAAATCGAGAAAAGACTCTAGTAATTTCAAATCGATCTCACGTTCGATCGGACGTAACTTTCGCATGGTAGAATATATTCCTTGCGAACCGTAATAACAAATAATTTCTAATAACAATCTCAATAATTTGGGATAAACGGATGTATCGTGTATTTCGCTACGAATGTGTAATGTCTCGGATGTAGAAAGCATAGTTACGATATCAAAGATATCTTTTAACATGTACGCTTGATCGCTCGTAATGGATAATTTTAAAGCACGCAGCGCGAAACTTTGTGTCAAATAATAGGCCGCCATATCTTCGATCTCGCTCCCGTCATTTATCACCACATTTTAGATATCTTACGGTCGAAGTACATCAGAAGTGTCGTAATCGTGAAAATGTACTAAAATCACTAGAGCAATCCAGCTATCGTAACTGTCGTCGGTCGAACATGATCGTACCAGTAACGAGGTAACATTGCCCTATAATCATTTTTCGTAGTGTCTATCATTTGATCGAAAGTAGCATTATCAGATACGTTTTTCAAACTCTCATAAAGAGTCTCATAATCACTATCCACATACGAAGTTCTCAACAAAGATTTAATCTTTTTTACTTTATCGTGAAACCAACGAATCAACTTTTCCGAAACATTATCCGTAATAGTCACCTTAGTCTTTGTTAAAGTTCCCACCATGATGTCGAATAAGTGCACGGCAACTGATAAAGACGACAATGATAATACGGTCGATTTCAATGACGACGGTGCTACTATAATTTCGAATAAATCCAATGGCGCCTTCGCATCTGCGAGTGCGTTCTTAATTATTTGGACGTCTTCCGGTCGTAAAGTCTTTGTCAATTCCATTACGGCGTTTAAGCCCCGCAATTCGCGTACCACCGAACTGTTTACGGCAATTTTGTAGTGTTTGAACAAGGACATTCGATACGATACGTAATTATCGAAATTCATTCTTCTCCCCCCTTTTAAAAATTACAATGTCTTTAAATACCGAGTGAAGGTAACTCGGCAGACTGTAGAACACGTGCTTAACTTTTGTAAATTCTAAATTCAGTAACAACTCCATGGTACACCAGGTCTCTTCTTGAAAAGGGTCCATTTCATCGCAATTGTACATGGACCAGTAAGTGCTTGCCATTCTTCAAGATATCTTACTAGCTATAACAGCTTAAAGTTTGTGGTCTAAGGGATCATTTACATTAAATTTATCTCTCAAAAGTGCCGCAGTGCGGACGTTCGAATCGTGTATGCTATCAGCTGTGCTCGCGGTCAGCTCATTGCCATCATTCACAAGGAGTTTGTTGAGTAACTTTAAATCTATCACGTTTTCCATAGGAAGAAGAAATTGCATTACATTTTTGAAAGGATGTAGCCTCTTGCAATAAAGTAATTCACTGCTTTGGCACTTTGTTTACTAAGACCCGCATTCTTGTCTAACTTCTTGAAAACCTTGTAGGTGTACAAACGGTAAGGTAGTTCCACGTTCTCCCTCCTCTTAACTGTCGTCATACGTTTCGACAAGTTTGTCTTCTTGCCTTTGCATTTGCCCTTACTGCTGCTTTGCTCCTCTTCCCTATACTACGTCCCTAGATAGGACTGTTGCTGAGTGCGGTCGAAGTTATCATATGTTTAGTCATAATGAATTTGTTTATTTTATATTATAAGACAAAAAAACAGCACACAGTAGAGTTTAATTATATAAACATTTTTTAACTAGATAATAGGAGAAAAATGGCATCCGTGAGGAAATTATCATCCCAAAGTCGTTCTCCTCGTGCAAATTTAATGTTCCCAGTAGGTCGAATACATAAGCTACTCTCGAAAGGTGTACAGTTAAACCTGGATATGTTGAAACTGATAAAAGTTTGCAATAATTCGTTATATGGAGGATTTCGTTGCATGCAGTTTTCGCGGAAAAACTCGTAAAGGACACGTGGAAAGAAAGCGAAAATGAAAAATCCACGTGGACGAACTCACCACGTCATTTATTTAGTGGAAAAGAAGTCCGTAAGCTTGCCTTGTGTCTTTCGCGCAAGCGAAGCCAGCACGCAGCGCTCAAAGGACACCAAAGCGTTTAGAGCGCTGTCGTCGTCCTGGGAGCCGGCGGCCCGGCGCAATACATGGATGGCATCCAAGACCTCCCTCGCGGTAGGCACCGAAGACTGCTCGCCTTTGGTGGCAACGGGACAAGAATATATCTGCATTTTAGGTTATTCGGACCAATTATTCGGACTTCGCAGGGACCGAAAAGCGTCCGAATAATAGAGCAGTCCGAAAAATGAGTATGGTCGAGGACTTTGAGCACTTTTTAATGACAGATTACGGAGGCAGAAGAACAGATGGGGCTATGACGTCCAAGCCAGCGTTGTGCAAACAAAATAAGAGGCGCAAAACCACGAGCGCATAATGGCGACGCGAAGAAACGGTAAAACAGGAAAAGCAAAATGATAATGATGATGACGTGCAGCTAAATGGAACGACCGGGCAAGAATGGGAAATTTTTACATATCCTTTGCATGAAACTCTTTGCCTGGGCAGTGGAACGACTCGGCGAGAATAAGAAATTTTTACGTCTTCATTGCACAACAACACAACACAACTCCCATGCTGCCCGTTGTGAACAAGGCAGAGTACTTGCAGTACAGATCCTTGTGAGGGTTGGAGAGAACAAACTCATTTAGATGCTACCAACCTATGTATTGCTTCTTTCCTTTTGTGGACTCAGCACGGAAAACTGTAGTTCTCCTGAGGGCACCAGTGCGTTTCCAACCAAATGCCGTTTAGCGTCGTCATAGACTTGTTTGCCAACGAAGTTTCCAATGTCGCTGGGAGCTGCCACTATTGAAATCTTGTTGCTTGGGCAGGTATTCGAGGACGTCACGTCCGATTCTTTGCCTTGCTATTCAGCATTTTGGTTAGATCCGGATGCAGAAGCAAGGTACGAACATGCTCATTGAACAGGTAGCGATATGCGACATGATGCTGACCCTCGTCCAACAGCAGCGTTGTGAAGATCGCTTTTGAAATCGCCTGTTCGATGCCTTCGACCTTGATATTTCTGGGGACACACGCTCCTGTAGAGAGAGGCTGAGTGACCTGGCCGCCCTAATGAAGCCGGTTCTGGACCATCCACCACCTGTGTTTACAACTTTCCGGCAACAGCCAAAGAAACAGTGCAAAAGAAAAGACGCGACAAACTCGTAGTCTCAGCATCCTACTTTGTCCCTAACATGCACCAGTAAGGAAACAAATTTCTTTATCGGACGGACCAACGGAGATTGTCTTGGTTTATTTTGTCAGCTTCTATTAGTTAGATTGCCACTGCTCCTTTTTGGTATTTTGCTTTTTTGGTAGTCAGGGGTGCATCCCCAGTCACAGCAGTGAATTCCCAGATGACCGGAGATTTGTTTTGTTACGTTATACTGATGTTCCCTTGATTGGTCATTAATGCACCGTCCGGTTTGTCTGATGTAGAATCTGTCGCACGACGGGAATAGAATTGTACGACGCATTTTCAACAGTTAACGAAAAGCTCTCGGTGTTTTTTTGTGCAACGTTTCTTCACTTCCCGATCTTGTTTACCTTCCTGCAGGGGGCAAAGAAACGTTCTGGAGCAGAGAAAACAAGTTTAAGTTCTGCTCTTTTTCCTATTCTCTTTGAATTGTGGGAAATCTTGCGCATGTTCGGAATGACGGAGATTTTTTTGCTACGGGCTCAGCAATTTTTCGGCCACTGAAGTTAGAATATTCTGTGGTATTCGCAAGTCTGTCTACTTGTTTTAGGTAGCTATTCGACATGCGGTGGTGACTAGATTTAGGAAGAGCAGAATTAAAGCATGAATTAACGATTCCTCCTCACAATCTTGGAATGTGCCGAGACGAATGAGAGGATCGGCTTGTTACTTCTGGGTTCAAAGGCCCAGCATACATGTCCGGCTGACAGATCTGGGCCGACCGAGCACAGCACAGCACTATAACTAGACAGTGGTCCGTTCATCCATTCAATTGTTCTACAAGGCGAAATGACTGGTTCGAGAAGTCCGAAAACCCATCATGCATCTTTTACAACGGAATCGGTAGCTAGCCCTGTTTTTGAAAAGCCCGGCCAAGTTGGTAATGAGGACAAAGTGGTCGTCAATCAAAAGCAAATCTACATGCTTTTCCAACTCGTGATCATTGATTTTGAGAGGATAGACAAACTTTTTTTCCCGTTCGTAACCGTACACATTGATGGACATGCGATTTTTTCTTTCGAAAGACTCTACGTCTTCTGGAAACGTCACTGGATAGTCTATACACCAACT